CAACCAACTCAGCCAGCCTGACCACCCGATCCCGTTAGTTGCCTCTTACGATAAGCTGGGTTGTTGAAGATCAGTTCTAACTCAGACCTTCACGGGTATATATTTATTGACAAGAGGCATACTGATAACGACAGACATAGCGACACGCCCTAAAGGTGGTGGTGTAACAACTCAAATATCAATATCTGATATGACTACCGTTTGTTTTGATACAGGCGAGGGAGCGACTGAAGACATCACATATTTTGAAACAAACTGAGGAATGGTTATGTTGAGTTGTTGATGAAGCAACCACCTGTTAATGTGGCATGTTGGTATCGATACACCAGCTTTTGTATCATTACTGACGGTTAAACGGATTTGAAGAGCACCTAACAGCGAAGCAATTTGTTGACATCCAAAACTACGCGTGCTCTCTCTCTCTCTCTATATATATATATATATACTCACACACATACCAAGTGGTCACACATACCATCTACTCACACACACATACCATGTACTCACACACACATACTGTGTAGTCACACACATACCTGTACTCAGCAACATACCGTTTTAACATAAGCTTCAGTGTACCATTGAACCTCTCAACTAACCCGTTACACATTGGATGGTATGGTGTAGTGGTTAACTGCTTCAGCGACAACAACCTACTGACCTCCTTCATGACTGCTGACGTAAACTGAGAACCCATATCAGACAACATCTCCTTTGGAACACCAACCCGACTGAATATCTCCAACAAAGCCTCCGCGACATACTCCGTCTCTATCCTCGGTAGAGCTACCGCCTCAGGATATCTAGTCGCATAATCTACTACTGTGAGAATGTACCTATTGCCTCTATCACTCACTGGATACAAAGGACCTATTAAATCCACAGCTATTCTCTCGAAAGGAGTAGAGATCAATGGCATCTGTCCTAGAGGAACCCTACCAACTTTCCCCTTTGGAATCGTACGCTGACAAACATCACAAGACAAACAATGCCTCCTAACATCACCTTGAATACCAGGCCAATAAAATTGTGAAGTGGCCCTATCTAAAGTTTCTTTTGACACCCATATGACCTCCCATCAAAGATTCATGGCATACCTTCATGACCTCTGACCTCAACTCGGTAGGAACAACAGCCTGGACAACAGCTACACCATCACTTCCCACATATTCCCGGTACAACATATCATCCTCACTGTAGTACCTGGACACACCCTTAGCCGTCATCTTCTGCTTACCCTCCTGAACCAACTTCCTGACCTTATCTAACTGAGGATCACACTTCTGTTTCTCAATAAACTCTAGCATATTGAGCGAAACTCCAACTGACTCAAATGCCTTCATCGGCTTCATACCCTCCTCTCTGACTTTCTTCTGCCTTCTAGTCTCTACAGCTGCAACAGAATCAACGACCTCACTAGGACCACTCTCCTCAACTGGATATGGATCTTCAGGAGCCCTCGCACCAGGAATATTCCCTAACATAACATCAAACAAGGGAGTCTCCAAACAAGCTGCTTTAACTGTGCCTTTATAAAAAAGGTGAATCTATACCAACCCATGCTACTGGTACAGTGATAACCCTACCATCACCCAAAGTACAGTTATGAAGCTCTCCATCAACAAAACAATCCTCATCCACCAAAGACCTCTTGACTATAACACCATTGCACCCAGAGTCACGCAAAACATTCACTGGACGCCCGCACAACTTGCCTACACGTACTAGCATAGTGCCACACATACCACACATTGTACCTGACGTCACTACAGATTCATCCTCACCTGGACCAACTGTAACACCATCACTGTTTCCACCCCATCCTGGGAAACTAACTCGCCACCTTCTACAACTGACTGCTCGAACATGTCAGAAACACTCTCAATGACCACACTAGCCGCCCCAGTGTTCCCTTTAGGCCTAGCCTTGCCCTTAGTACATGACGCAGACATGTGACCAAACTCTCCACAACTATAACACTTCCGCTCATGCAAGGGTATAAACACCTTAGGATCCCTCTTCTCCCCGTGCAGTGGCCTCTTATCCTGAACATCTGAGCCCTTCTTATGCTTATCACTACCCCGAGTGAAAGGATTAACAAATCTAGTAGTAACACCGTCCCGAGCCTCAACAAAATGCTCAGCCAAACTAGCCATCTCCGCTACAGACTTAGGCTTCCTCTCCCTCAAAAAGATACAAAGGCCTGGACTGACACCAAGTAAAAGCTGTTCACGCAACATCAAATCACGAACACCCTCAAAAGTCTTGGCACTACCACTAAGATCAACCCATCTATCAAAGTAATTCTTGATCCTGACCATAAATTGAGTAAAAGTCTCACCCGTCTCTGTTCTGGCAGACCTGAACTTCTGATGGAACCCTCTTCAGTCATCTCGTAACGCTTTAGTAACGCTTGTTTCACCACCTGGTAATCTTCAACTTCATCTGGATCAAGACGAGAGTAAACCTCAAGTGCCTTACCTTTCAACAAAGTGCTAAGATACGTCGCCCACTGCGTCTCTGGCCATGACTGTGCCTTAGCTATACGTTCAAACCTTTGTAAGTAGGCATCGATGTTATCTCTATGGTCCTCAAATGGCGGCATCTTGGGCATCTTAGGTACCCTGGTGACTTCTCTTCTTCCTGCTTTAAACCCTTACCAAGTTTAGTCTTCTCTGCCTCCAATTGTAACCTATCCCTCTCTATACTTATCTTCAACTTCTCTAACTCCAGATTCCTTTCCTTCTCTCTATCCTCCTTCTCTAACCTAAGCCTCTCAATCTCCAACTTTTTCATCTCACGTACTCTTTCCCGTTCATCCCTTTCTAACCTATCTCTTTCCTAGCCCTCTCTATCTCTACCTGCTCCCTAACAAACTGCTGTAAGTTCTCCCCAGTATAACCCAACTCTTTCCCCAGAGCACAAAGAGCCGCTAAGTCCATGATAAAGAAAACTAAGGCTACGGTATCTACAAGTAGAAATGTACAATCTATCAAAGGGTAGTTGTAACAAAGGGACTCGTTCACCTCAGCACATCTGCAGACCCAGAACCAGACAATAAAGGAACGCGAGAGATCGCTAAGAGCAACCAACAAAAGCCACTACACTATATCTAAACTAAGGGAATTTGGAAAATTAAAACCAAACAACCCTACAAATCATCTCATATGTGACTATAAGAATTGAAATCCCACCGCTGCCACCAAAATGTCACAATACGAGATGAATAATGCAAAGGCAGAAATGTAATAAATGAAATTTATTACAAAAATTATATATATAATGGAATCAAAACCATTTGCCCAAAATAAAACCCCAAATCACCCTTCATTCATACCGCATTCGTCACCAAACATAATAGTAGCACACAATCACTCCTATACATATCCTTTACACACACACAAAAAACCCTAACCCAATAGAACACTACATTTTATAACACAACTATTTCATATTGTACAAAGCGTACACCACGTGTATCAAACACGGAATGGGACTGAATGTTCACTGATGATAAGTTCAATCATATAGTTGTAGCTCTTCTCACATAGCAAGGTCATGACCACCTCAGTCTCTCACGGTCAGCCATCCTGACGATGTTTTCGCTGGTCAGTCACATGAGGAGGCAACACACAGACGCCACCTTTTACAGGTCGAGGCCATCATACTGATCTGCCTCTTACACACAAGGCGAGGTTACCACACAGATACTGCCTTTTATACGGTCCGGCACAGGTCCCGGGCACTATACAAATATCAAAACAACATTTGATATACTTATCATTCAATGTACACAGAGTTTTACCAACTCAGAATGATAACAATCATTCAACGTACTAAGAGCATTAGATACTCAGAATGATATTATACTTAACAGGATGAATATCACAGCATTATATTCCACTTAGAACAACTTTTACGTTATTCAACATACATGCAAGTGAATATGCTGATAAAACATCTGATTACAACATTGTATCACAATGTAACTCGTATAACTGACAGAAAAATAATTTACCTGCAACTAAATCGTGAGAATTGACCTTTTGGTATATTTCTTGCTACAACATTTGAGGATTGACAAAATGATAACATAATCATCATGTAACAAATGCCCATATATACATAGCTCCACAATAATAATTACAAAGCAAGATGATAAACATAAATATCCAATAAAACAAATTCTACTCACGCCATGAAATTAGACCAGCCACCTTGCAAATACAGCCATCCTCATCAGATAACTTTCATGACTGCACTCACCAACCCTTGCACCCTGCCTAATATAATCAAACCTCACACCTTGCATGCTTTTCTTGCCACACTAGCCTCTTCATATCACCTTGCATGCTTTCTACCCATTCCCACACCCTGATCTCACCTACTACAGTCCAACCACACTGTAACACGCGTCATACAGTTAAACCAAACTACTATGTGATCTTGACACACAGTACACAGACAATGGTGAGAAAACAACTGAACATAGATACTCAACTCTGGCACAGTGCACAGACAGTGGCGAGAAAACAACTAAACATAGATACTCAACTCTGGCACAGTACACAGACAATGGCGAGAAAACAACTGAACATAAATACTCAACTCTGGCACAGTACACAGACTCTGGATCGTACCTGTTTTATCCCATAAATCGAACCAATATGGCCACCTTTAAACACCTTTAAAAGACCATCCACTATGCTAAGACGGGTTATACATGTTATCATGCATGTTGTTATACATTTAGGAACCAATAAATGACACACAAAATCACAAAATTGATTTGGAATCATTTAATGAATATATTCTAGGAGTAATGAATCTAGTTGTTCTCTGACATCATTAAACACTTTACTGCAGCAACTGTAGACACGATTACGTATTTAACGTAATCTCTATCTCATACACACACACACTCTCTCTATCTCCCACTCTCGTTTTTTTCTCTCTCGTGTGTGCGATGTATGGTTTACGCCGTAGCAGTAATATTACAGCTATTCGCGGCCCTCACACACAGATCCCATGAAATGATTGATGAGGGAATCAACGAGTAACGAGTTTGGATGCTGGTCGTCGTTTTCTGTAGCCACTGTCAAATCTATATTATTTAAGAAAAGCACATTGTTCTCGAGCCCCTTAAATGCGTGCCGCTGGATCGTGTCGTATATGAACATCCAACAGTCATCCAGAAACCCTATCCTCTTCCTGCCCTTGAAAGCATGAGTCCCACGTATCGCTACTTTTACCCCAGGGGCACGAGCGACTAACGACTTCACAGATCGAGCAATTCGTTGCATGTGTGTTCTGAAAACCTCTGGAGGGAAGGAGTTAAAATGAAGGTACATATGAATGAGGAATATATCCCTTGAGGTATTGGGAATGTCATCCAGATAGGCATGAGTTGCTCTGTTGTAAGCCAGTTTGTCGAACCTGAATCCATGGTAAAAGGGATACTCATGAGGCACAAACATTAGCGTGATGTTCCAGGACTTGTCCATGGTTACTGCTTGTTTGTACCACTTGGAATTGTCCCATTCCTCTGTAACCAGTTTCAACCCTAAACGCTCTTTTAAAGTAAGGAACCACGCTCTGGATGTTGAATCGCCATGGATCCAAAGTATCCGGTTTTTCAGACATTCCCTGTATATTTTCGAATCAGCTGGAATTGTGTTTTTACAAGTTAGAGACTTCCAGGAATTTTTGTAGAAGAAGCCAACAGGTGTTGATGCCTTCCAGCTTTTCCTCAGAGGGGTTTTGTTACATGGGACACTTGGCAAAGAAACTGTCTCTTGCTCTGCAAACAGAGATCATTGATTGATGAACCACGGTCACACAACGTTATATCGAAGTTGAAGGGACTTACGAAAACTATACCTCGTTATCTGATGTTCGACATAATCGCAAAATACTGCCTATATAAGGAATACCCAGGACCAGATCTTTTACTTCGAAACAACCCTACGTTCGACACATCCAAGTCTGACAGTGTTTAACTGTATTCAGTTTCAAAATAAGCAAGATAATATCCATAATGTTTGAATTTATTCATATCATATGCATGACGTTTACGTGATAAAGTCTGCATACTTGTAGAAGAAAGAATGATTACACAGTTCTACTGGCTGCTCAATCAAGCTTCTCTGGACATAATTGACAATAACTAGGACCAAAATCTTTAGATAAATAGTGAACTGACACAAGGAGTGCGAGTTTACATTTTCTAAATTCCATACATTAGAAGGTATATTCTTTATGTGAGCCGTTTGTGTAGTCAAAACAATTAAAGATGACATCAAAATGCGGGCTTACATCTTCTATTGACCAATCAGCATCCAGAGTTGTTGAAAATGCTGTCCTCTCTCTCTCTGTCTCTGTTCTCTCTCTCAGGCTAATATATCTCTCTCTCTCTCTCTCTCTCTCTCTCTCTCTCTCAACAGGCTAATATATATATGACAAAGTGTGATACTTGGTCTTGTAACTTTCATTAGCTCATAACGGGGTAACTTCCATCAGCTTTTAAGGGGGTTACATTCATCCGCTTATTACGGGGACATACCTGCTGTTACTGTAATCGCGACAGCTGTGGGAATATTTTGATGTAACAGCCGTCTGAAACAAAGCATGGAATGTATTTTATGAAACACTCAGTTAGAATAATAAAAGAGTTTTATTTCGAATAAGTTTGATTTCGAATTACAAATGATATTATTTCAAAATGATGACAAATACAGTTATAAATAAACATATATAAACTCTGTCAAAAAAGAAACGCAACCCCTGTCCTCAGATATGAAAAATTCGTTTGAATGAAGTTATTGCTTCCAAACTAAATGTTATTCGAATGTATTGAAATTATACACGTAATTAATGAAGATTACCATCCAAACAACTGCATTTGTACGCATAAGTGTATTTTATTGCTTATTCCGTCACAACGCATGAAATGACCCTCATGGTGACTTCGCACAAAAAAAACACATGCAAATCATGAAAATGGCAGTTAATGTAGGGTGTATAAAGCCCATGTGCTTTCGTATTATATTCATTCATTTGTCGCCGAAAAGCTGTGTGAAAAATGCCACGATTGAGTGCTGCCGACCGAAATATCGCCATTGGTCGTGTTCAAGCCGGAGAAAGTTTTGGAACTGTTGCACGGCACCTAAATGTTCACAAAACAACGATATCCCGACTTTGGAGCCGCTACAACAACTTCAATTTGACCAACGATCGCCCGAGAAGTGGAAGGCCAAGAATCACGACCCCCCTTCAAGATCGGTACATCCGGGTCCATCACCTGCGTAATCGGCATGCCCTACCAACCGTGACTGCCACACAAATACCAGGTTTGAGGAGAGTGTCAGCTCAAACGATTAGGAACCGTCTGAAAGAAGCGGGTTTACGTGCCTGTAGACCAGTTGTTGGACCTGTACTACGCCCCCTACATCTCCGCCGACGACTCAGGTGGTGCAACAACGTAAGGATATGGACTTTACAAAACTGGAGGCGCATCTGGTTTTCTGATGAATCCCGTTTTCTTTGCAACATCACGACGGAAGAAAACGTGTGTATAGGAGACGTCATGAACGTTTTGCGCCCATCTGCGTCCGACAGGGGGACAGATTTGGCGGAGAAAGCGTTATGGTTTGGGGATCCATCTCATACAACCAGAAATCAGACTTGGTGATCGTTGAAGGGAACCTGACAGCCCAACGTTACATCAACCACGTATTACAGCCTCACCTTCTCCCGATTATTGACCAACAGACACAGATTTTTCAACCAGACAACGCCCGGCCTCATACTGCACGTGCAACAATGAACTTTCTGCAGAATTCCAACGTCAATGTCTTGCCATAGCCCCTCTAAATCACCAGACCTCAACCCTATTGAACACCTGTGGATACTCTGGGTCGACGCGTACGTCAACGTCAGCCGCCGCCACAGACGCTGCAACAGCTCGGCGTTGCACTGCAGGAGGAGTGGAGAGCCATTCCCAGGAAAGAATCCGGCGTCTTATCCGTTCTTGTCCAAGGAGATGCCGTGCAGTGATTGCAGCTCGTGGTGCTCATACGAGATACTGAGAAAGACGCCCCTGGTGACAAACTGGTGTCTGTGAGATGACTTTTGAAATGACAATTTTAAACATGCCCATCTTGGTTATTATTCTGCCAAATTTCAGACTTCTGTCTTAAATAATAACAATGCTGTGTCGTCTTAAAACTTCAGATCAAAAATCTCTAAAATACAGGGTTGCGTTTCTTTTTGACAGAGTTTATACTGTTTGAAGAACTTGGCTTCGTGTGACGTGAACAGAGTCGGCTGATAACTGTCAGCACGCAGTCCTGTTAAGTCGTAACACAACAATTTCCGGTGTGATGGTTTCCCACAATACCATGGGAGACCGTAATTCTCGGCCGTCAAGTTACAGACATTCGTAAATCCTCGGATATTTGGGATCGGCAGGCACAAAGTTTCTTCTTTAACGCCGTCGCTCTCAAACCTCGCCGATATGTTCCTCAGTGTGTAGTTATCGAGATATCTCCTATAGAATATATCCACGTTTTCTTTACGACTAGCAATGGTGGCCTCGATTTTCGGACTTCCGGTCCAGAGAGCTCGGAGAGTTCCTGTGTAGGTGCCGTCTTTGTTGTCAGTGACAACACCGGCTGCGCGTGCTTCTTTTGACTTTTCGCTCATCCACACTCTCACGTTATCACCTCCCTTGGTTTTACGTCGCTTGTATTCGTCGAAAAGTTGGATTTTCACAGAAAATGTGTCCCCTAGCTTAAAGTCCGTTTTAGATGAAGAGAGTTGCATCTTTGAATTAGGAGCATATGAACAGCTTTTGGGTCCGTCTGTGCAATGATACTCGCTAAGGGTTTCCTTTACTGCCTTCAAATCAGATAGTGTTTTCCAGTCCACAGACATCGGGCCCTGCCAGTCACTTGAAAGTCGAACATCGTCCCTGACATTTGGCTTTGAAGAGACGGGTTTTGTCTGAAAACAAACTAGAATGAATTGTAGACGAATAGGATCAATAGAAAAGAAGATCTAAGAGTTTTATTGTCTGTAAACGGTTAGCGATATGCATTACTTGATATTACGATATTACTTGAAGCACAATTGGAAGGTTGAGTGCGGCTGTGTTGTGTTTTTCTTGATGGAGTTGTATGTTACATGTAACCACCACATCTAATATTCACAATTCTCTAACAAGGACTAACAATTTTTGCAGGCCCTTTGAAATGTAAACGCGTTAAAATGAAAACAACACATTAATTTGTGGAAACAAGATCCCATGATGGCAAAACATGAACTGAAATAAAAACCTAGTCAACTTAACTTGGCTACAAAGTACAACCTCCCCACTCAACTCATGACCACTGATAAATAAAATCCTGACGCCAAATGGTGAGATCGGATTCATAAGGTGACGGTCGTTTGCTCCTGTATTGTAAACATAATAACCCCAAAACACAGATTACAAACAGAAAAAGGTAGATGGCAAAAAATTGAAGAATTTGTACTTTATGCAGTACTTGTATCGGAGATTATTTTAATTTCCTACTTCAATATCCATCTTAACAAAATCTGAGACAGAAATATCTTCCTTATTATTACTGTAAATGTCCATCTATCGAAAAGTTAAATTTCCAAATGAATTGTTCGTATGTGCCCTTACTGATGAGAATGGCCAGATATATAAAGCTGGCCTAGCAATGTTTCATTTATTTAGAAACAGTACAATAAATTTTAGCAAATGTGTACATGTATATATGTATGCTCTATATCAATGTTCGTGATTCATGAGAATAAACTCTGTTCTGTTCTGTTCCTGCGATCGACGAGCGCTGAAACAAAGGGAGATTGGCTGACACACCAATTTGCACCCCGTATTTAAAAAGGCTCTGCTGAAGACTTGGAATTTAAAAAATCAATATGGTACATCTTATCAAATTTATTGAAGAGTGATGTTAATTGTAACACAGCAAACATGTCAATGTTGTCACTTTCCTTTTAGTTGTTGCAGCGCTGGCGATATCTCACATTGTTGGAGTTTTAGTTGGAGTAGCTACATCTTTATGATTATTATAACACACTTGAGTTCATATTGCCATGACTGCCATACTATTAAATACTGCCATGACTGCCATACTATAAAATACTGTCGTGACTGCCATACTATTAAATACTGCCGTGACTGTCATACTATTAAATACTGCCATGACTGCCATACTATTAAATACTGCCATGACTGCCATACTATTAAATACTGCCGTGATTGTCATACTATCTATTATTGCCGTGATTGTCATACTATCTATTATTGCCATGATTGTCACCCTATCTATTATTGCTGTGATTGTCATACTTTCTATTATTGCCATGACTGCCATACTATTAAATACTGCCGTAATTGTCATACTATCTATTATTGCCGTGATTGTCATACTTTCTATTATTGCCATGATTGCCATACTATTAAATACTGCCGTGATTGTCATACTATCTATTATTGCCGTGATTATCATACTTTCTATTATTGCCATGATTGTCATTCTATCTATTATTGCCATGATTGTCATACTTTCTATTATTGCCATGATTGCCATACTATTAAATACTGCCGTGATTGTCATACTATCTATTATTGAGGTGATTGTCATACTTTCTATTATTGCCATGATTGCCATACTATTAAATACTGCTGTGATTGTCATACTATCTATTATTGCCGTGATTGTCATACTTTCTATTATTGCCATGATTGTCATACTATCTATTATTGCCGTGATTGTCATACTTTCTTCTATTATTGCCGTGATTGTCATACTATCTATTATTGCCGTGATTGTCATACTTTCTATTATTGCCGTGATTGTCATATCACTATCTATTATTGCCGTGATTGTCATACTTTCTATTATTGCCATGACTGCCATACTATTAAATACCGCTGATTGTCATACTATCTATTATTGCCGTAAATTGTCATACTTTCTATTATTGCCATGATTGTCATCCTATCTATTATTACCGTGATTGGTATACTATCTATTATTGCTGTGGATTGTCATACTATCTATTATTGCCGCGACTGTCATACGATCTATTATTGCCGTGATTGTGATACTATTTATGATTGTCACACTAATCATTACTGCCGTGATTGTCATACTATCTATTATTGCCATGATTGCCATACTATCTATTATTGCTGTGATTCTCATTCTATCTATTATTGCCGTGTTTGTCATACTAGCTATTATTGCCGTGATTGGCATACTATCTATTATTGCTGTGATTGTCATACTATCTATTATTGCCGCGACTGTCATACTATCCATTATTGCCGTGATTGTGATACCATTTATGATTGTCATTCTATTAATTACTGCCGTAATTTTCATACTATATATGGTTGCCGGGGCGGTGGTGTAGCCCCAATGGATGAAGCGTCTGCACAAGGCCCATATCTGCTGTCGCCCGCCTATTTCTAGTGATATTCCTGGCGTTTTGTCAAAAGCGGCGTAAAACCATACTCACTCACTCACTCATCATTGGTATATTATTCATTAATGACATGGTTGCTCATATGATTGGTATGTAACGTCATCTCTTCGTTGCAGGGTTGATATCCTCAGCTGTGAGTTCGGGCAAATTCCCAAACATACCTCAAAGTTGACTGAGAGATGTTATCCTCGGAGCGGTCTCTCTGTACCAGGCGGCTATGAGGCTGGATGGCTCTAACTCGGTTTCAAATTTTCTATTTTCCATTAATAGGTCTGTTTGTATTAGGTTTGTTTTTGTTTGTTGTTTAAAGCCAAACTCAGCAATATTCTACCTATATGGCGGCGGTCTCTGTAAATAACTGAGTCTGAACCAGACAATCAACTGCATGAGGATAGCATTAGGATACGATGATTACGTGTCAACGAAATCAGTGAGTCTTACCACCCGATCCCGTTAGTCACCTGTCATGACGACCATGGTTGGTTGAAGACCAATTCTAACCCGAACGCCACTTTGCTTTCCCATAGCTCCATACTCAAGATATGCCTGATGAAGCGTAATTGCAAACAGGAACACAATTCGCAATGCATATATTACCATGCCTCGGCGACAAGAGCTGAAGGTGCTTTAGTTCAGCTGAAGAAAATTTAGAAGACAGCACTTCTATAGACATGATTTGGTTTTCATTTGATTGTTTTTGAGAAAAGACGACACCAGAAAAGTATCAATGGTTTTTGCTTTGTGGTATATGAGGACTGCATACAAAAGTAGCATTGAGAAAAATCAGTTTTCCGCGATCATATTTGATGACGTCACAACGTAAAAAGATGATCAGTTCAAGTGCTTTGCACTACGACGTAGGTGAATGTCTTGGCAGTGAAGATGCTGTCTTGAGGACAATTACAGAAATAAAATGATTGACCATTTAACTCGACACTTTGTAATTTGGATAAAAGATTCCAAAAATACGAGCCATGTTTCTGAACTCACCCGTTGGATGTATTTTTAGTAAATTTACTTCTTTGGCTTGCTTGCGATTCTTAATTCCTACTACGGATTCTAGCATCACCATGATTAAATTATACATGTCAAATATACATGTTGTTTCATGTTACGTCTCACGCCGAAGACCGCCTTCGAATCCCCAGCTACGGGCACAATGTGTGAAGCCCGTTTCTGGTGTCCCCCGCCGTGATGTTGCTGGAACATTACTTAAAGCGGCGTAAAACCAAACTCAGTCAGTCATGTTACGTCAAATGTAGCAGTTATACTCAGATACCGTTTTTCTCCCGTTCGGTTCTGTAAAAACACGATGCTGACAACTCAAAAGGCGTTATACAGATTAGTCGATAGGGTCATTATCTAACCACCTCCTGGTATCATCACTATCTGTCTGTGTCACCTTACAGTTTATGCCATATGTTTCATCAATAAACACGACTGTCACACTCGATCACCTCCTGGTATTACTTCATCACTATATGTCAGTGTCACCTTACAGGCTATACCATATGTTTCATCAATAAACACGACTGTCACACTTAACCACCTCCTTGTATCACCAATATCTGCATGTGTCACCTTTACAGTTTATACCATATGCTTCACCAATAAACACGACTGTCACACTCAACCACCTCCTGGTATCATCAATTATCTGTCATGTGCTCACCTACAGGCTATGAATTCATATGTTTCATCAATCAACACGACTGTCACACTCAACATGACCACCTCCTGGTATCACCAATAACGTGCTGTGTCACCTGCCAGTTTATACCATATGCTTCATCAATAAACACGACTGTCACACCTAACTACCTCCTGGTATCATCACTATCTGGTATCAGTGTCACCTTGTTGTGTTTATACCATATCAGTGTTCCATCAATAAACACGACTGTCACACCTTCAACCACCTCCCGGTATCATCACTATCTGTCTGTCTCGTGTCAGTTTACGGTTTATACCATATACTTCATCAATAAACACGACTGTCACACCCAACCACCCTCCCCGGTATCATCACCATTCACCAGTGTCAGTTTTTACATAGTTTCTACCATATGGCCATCAATCAATACGACACGACTGTCACACTCAACCACCTCCCCGGTATCATCACTCATCTGTCTGTGTCAGTTTACAGTTTATACCATATGTTTCATCAATAATAAATACGACTGTCACATGTAAACCACCCTGGTATCACCACTTTCACTATCTGTCTGTTTGTGTCACCTTACAGTTTATACCATATGCTTCATCAGTATATGCGATCGTCCCACTTTATCCACCTCCTGGTATCATCACTACAATTCGTCAGTGTCACCTTACAGTTTATACCATATGTTTCCCATCAATAAACACGACTGTCCCACTCAACCACCTCCTGGTATCAACACTATCTGTCT